GAGCAGATATATACGTAGGCTCCGATATGTAGTTTTCTTTGTGAATACCCGTTAAACTATGGAATATTTTGTGAAACAGAGATAAACGTAAGAATTTGCGCCTGTCTTCAAGAAGAGGCCATCCTAAAGTACTCCTGATTTCGAAAGATCTTTTAGAAAAGTTGTAATCACCCGTGACGAAACGGGCCGCTCTCAGCTGCACGCGTTCTAGAGCGTCGATGTTCACCTTAGTAAAAGGGTCCCACGTGCTGCACGCGTATTCCAAAAGTGGGCGTACATTCGACATATACAGGATTTCTTTCAGGCTGGCCGGTGCTTGTTTAAAGTTACGTCTTAAGAAGTTTAATCTGTTGCTGGCCTTTGTTACGATGTAATTTATGTGGGCATTCCAAGTCAAATTACTGGAAAAAATGACTCCTAAGTACTTATATTCTGTTACAAGGGACAGCTGTGTTGTATTCTTGACATAGCTTGCCATCAGCGGGTGTCTTTTGTTTGTGAATCTTAAGAGGTTGCATTTGGACAGGTTGAGTGTCATGTTCCAAGTCGAACACCAAGACATGATTTTGTTCAGATCATTCTGTAGCAGTTGACTATCTGATTCACTTGAAATTTCACGGTAAATACAGCAATCATCTGCATATAACTTCACACGGCAAGACAAGTGTTCAGTAAGGTCATTGATAAATATAAGAAAAAGCAGGAGCCCTAAGACGGACCCCTGTGGCACTCCAGATAATACAGAGACATCAGAAGAGCGGACACCATGAAGTATCACGCGTTCCAACCACTTCAGGAGGGTGTTCGGCAAGTTGAGGTAGGACAACTTTAGTAGTAACAGGGTGTGAGATACGGTACCGAAAGCTTTCCGAAAGTCTAAAAAGATGCAGTCAACTTGCAAACCTGAGTTAATAAATGCTGCGATGTCATGGCAAAATTCTACAAGCTGAGTGTCGCAAGAAAAGCCAGCCCTGAAACCATGTTGCGTTGGAATAATGAAGCTATTTTCTTGAAGGTGTGCCATTAAATTTGTATAAACAACATGTTCTAATGTTTACAAGCAACGCTTGTGAGTGAAATTGGCCTGTAGTTGCACGTTCTTGTTTTTGAACCACTTTTGTGAATTGGAATAACATTTGCAGTTTTCCAGTCCGAAGGTAGAGCACCAACTTGAAGAGATATCTTAGATAACAGTATTAAGAAGTGGGTGAGAGACAATGCACAGTTTTTTAGGACAAAATTTGAAATAAAGTCGGGACCGGTAGCCGAGTGGATGTTTATCTTTCGTAGTAATAATGCGATACCATCTTCAGACAGCTCAATTTCCTCATCTGAGTAAGCTCTCTGACGTCATGTGATTTCAAAAGTGCGGCTTTTGAGCATGAAAACACGGAGTGAAAATAAGCATTGAAGGCCTCTGCTTTTGCCAAAATATCTGCGCCGTAGGCTTTTTCATCTATGACGTCAGGGATGGTGTCACCAGAGTTCTTTTTGCTCTTGACATATTTCCACATTTCTTTTGGATTAGTTTTCACTTTGTGTCCTAGAGTGAAAAGAAACTTTTTATGTGCATTGCGCATCAATCTCGCTATCAATTTGCTCATTACCTTCATCTTTGCGAACAATGCAGGATTCGGCGAGTGGCAGTGCTTACGAAAGGCTTTTATTTTTCCTGTTTAACATCGTACGAATCTCTTTAGTAATCCATGGTTTATCGTTTCGACGCTGGGAAGTAATGACATGCGAGGGAATGAAGGTTTGTGTCAAGGACAGTATTTAGTCTTGAAAAGATCCCACAATGCATTTATGTCTAGACACGAACATTGAGCCCTAAACTCTGGGAAAAAATTGTCTAGTTCTCATGATATTGTTGCGTAATCGCCTCTTTCATAAGAAAAGACCTTGCGAGGCTGCGCAGAACGACAATTCTTGGTGGCACAGGACATCTTAGCGACGGCAACACCATGATCACTAATACCAGGAATCAAGGTAATCGAAGACACGAGATCAAGCACATTGCAAAAAAATAAATCAAGTACATTTGCACTACTAGCCATAATTCGCGTTGGTTTTTGCACAAACTGTAGTAACGAATGGGCATTTATCATTTCGCGGAAGGTCGTGTACAGGAGGGATGAATTGACTAACACTGGTGTAAGCTGCTGCCATATGACATCTGGTAAATTAAAATCACGTGCCAAAACAATATATGTAGTTTGTAGTGTCAGCAGCACATTGCTTAAATTGAAAAGGGGCTGAGGGGCTCTCGTGCTGGGTGACCTGTAGAAGGAAACGAATGCCACAGACGAGCCGTTGTTCAAGAGTACTTTGCAGCAAACAATTTCGGTTGAGCCAGCTTCAACGTCAACGAGGAAGCTAGATATAGTATTGTGAATCAAAATGAAAACACCTCCCCCATGCATGTTTCTGTTCTTCCTGTAGACTGTGTAGCAGGTTGGAAAGATCTCATTGTCATTTATTGTGTCGTCTAACCAAGATTCAGAACCAAGTACTACATGTGGCTTTGTCGTTTCCATGAGGGCGGCGAGTTCTATAATTTTATTTTTTACGCTACGGCAATTTACCACAATACACACGATGTCATCCATTAAACATTTGCGAGGAATTTTGTGCCAATTGTTCATGCAGTGCCTGACGATGATGAGGAATTATGGCTGAAGTGGGTATGCACCACAGTTAATAGGGAAACAAGAACAAGCTTTCGTAATGGTTTAGAGCAGTGGACGGCTCACTCGTTACGCTATTCGCATTGTGCGATGACTGGTTGTTTTTTCGCTGTTGTAAAACGTTTTATAAGTCGTATTAACACGATTGCTTTCCTGACATCAAGCCTACCTAAGGCAAGTTTGACAAGAAGTCACAAGCACCGATGTAGCTCAGGGGTAGAATACTGGGCTGGCACCCAGCAGACCCGGGTTCGAGCCCCACTGTGTCATTGGTGCAAAGTGTTTTTTCTGATTTCGAGCAATGTGGTTACGGATAGCCGCGGCGGCAGCGGACAACAACTGCGCGGGACCCGAAAAGTGGTCTTATAACAGCTTTCACTGTAAAAAGTATTCCTACCCTTGTGAAGCTCCCGTTTCCTAGTATCCAGCTATGTGTCTAAACCGAGATTTTGATGAGTAGTTATTTAGCCATCGTTCCCAGAAGCTATGCTAATTAATTATCAATTAATAGTGCAACTAGTTGACATACATAAAAACTAAGCGCATATTTGGAATTTGCAAGAAAAGCTGAACAAGGCTGAGCAATTTCATTAAATTTGGTAAAGGAAATCAAAAGATAAAAGACCTACTTTCCCTCTTAAAAGTAGGCACCATAAAAAATGGTTGTCGGTCGCTTTAACTCATTCAACTTGCGCATACTGTAAGACAACTGCACTGTACAGATTAGAATGCTTGTTTGTTGCCTTTTGAAAACTATGCTATGTTTACTTTGTTTTCTTTTTTGTTTTTTGCCCTCACCTTGGTTGGACTAGTATAACGTCTGCACTACTGAATAAATACAACTATAAATAAAAATAGCAGTAGCGCCATGAAACTGCTGTGCTCTTGTGCGCACACACATGGCCTCGAGCCTATACCTCACAATCGATTGAACTGCGTGGCTGGGAAATAAGAAAATGTAGCAGTCTGCTATTGCACAGAAGGTACTTGGAAGAAGCGATGCCAGAATGCACCACCTCAAAAAAAAAAGTCTCCGCAGGTCGCGGGATCAAATCCCGGCTGCAACGGCTGCATTTCCGATGGAGGTGGAAATGTTGTAGGCCCGTGTGCTCAGATATGGGTTCACGTTAAAGAACCCCAGGTGGTCCGAATTTCCGGAGCCCTCCACTACGGCGTCTCTCATAATCATAGCGCGGTTTTGGGATGTTAAACCCCACAGATCAATCAATCACCTCAAAAAGTCTGTGTCTCCACTGGTTTCACTCCACATTTTGTCATCGTGTACAGCTAGGAATAATATTCCTTGGAATATCTACCGTCCTTAGAGGTATTGTCACGCACGTTTTTTATTTCACTTCTGCTGTATTCGGTTTCCGCCCAGAAGGACCGTCAGCAATGATGCTCAGCGCAAGCCGTGCCTTTGTTGTTCGAGAAGCTTCACGGTTGCAGTAGATAGTCAGGGTTGCGCTCAAGACGCGAACACTCGACCCTATTCCAAAGTTCATGAGACGACGTGCGACAAAGCTGGAAAATTCCATGCAAGATTTGTATATATGACGGCGCATCTCAATGATGGCCAGTTTGCTGACGACCGACGCTCTGTGCGCCACTATCAGTGTACCGCGTGCTGTAAATTGAGTTTTGTTTCATGGCTGCAAGTTCGGCCAAATAGAGAGCTCAGCCTTGAGGGTGCAGGCTTTTCCTTTTGTCCATCTCACGACCCCGTGACAATATCATTCCTAGGGATAGCCAGGAATGATGTCCGCTGCGGCATGAATCACTACCCATGGCGTTCTTACTATCCTTCAAGCTTAATTCACCAAGCGCCAAGTCTTGAAGACTCACTTCGCTTGAGTTTTGTTATATAAAAAAAACGGAAACTATTACAAGAAACCCTTTTAGAGACCTCACTCATGATAGACACTCGAGGCTGCACGTTTCAGCTTTCCTGGTTAACCGTCTGCTTTGGCGCAAAGGTGCTGATTTTCCCGTTTCCTTTAGATTCTTTATAAACCCAAACGTCATTATAAAAAAGTCACGTCCGCCATCAAAATACTTTGTTGCATCTGAAAATTCGCTATGAACGATTATTTCTAACACGGTATCTATGGTAAAGCTATTGGTAACTTACTTCTTTATAACCGATAATTCATTACATCTGAATTTGTTATGTCAACGTGTGAGTGTATCTGTGTTAGTCTATGACTTATTGGAATGAAAGCACGAGCTCGGTTCACAACTCTTTACATGTGTGGCTCGTTTGAAGCAATTCCTCGCGGCGCACTTGGAAAGGGTTTGTTTTGTCCTTTGCAGATAACTATGCGTGGTGTGGACATCTTGGCCAACAGTCCTTGCAAAGTCACTATAGAGGTGAGATGATGGTTGAGGAGAGATGATGTCTCTATAGAGGAGAGATGATGTGCTGCTAAGTTCAGGCTGTTCCCAGCCATATCTGTATTGTAGTGCACTTTAAGGTAAAGGAGATTTGAGCTTCTCAACACCTTCGCTACATTGTCATTACCTGTTAAATTAGATCCCGTGTGTCACTACAAGGTCCTTAGAAAAGACGTGTTTCGTTACAGGTAATACTTGCAGTGTGACAACTGTGCGTTCAGCTGCTCTCCTTCAATATGCTTTCTTTGGTTTTCAAAAGTCGTGCTAAGCCATTGTTAGAGTGCGTCTCCAATTTGTGGCTAGTCAAGAGTGTTGAAAAAATAGTAGTTTGGCGTACAGTTCAAGCATAGGCAACCTGGATTCACGGTGATGATATATGAATGGGGGATCGTTAAAGTTCTGATACTGCACTCTACAAATACGCTTGTGAACTTGAATTGGGCAATAACGTCGCATAAAAGGATGCAAATTTTAAAGCTGCAGCCCAAGTGATTTAAGGGATACCAGCAAGTAGGTAACGACATATGATGCATCGATTCAAGATGAAAGAGTTCCTCTAATGAGTTTTACGGCTTGGTGCTGATGAAAGTGCCTTGGAGCTGTTTGTAAGACATAAAAAATAATAAATTACTTGTGATCAATTAAACTATATTTAATTTGGTTATATATATGATTACTTTTTTGGGAGGTTAACATTCTGGATTGTTTAATAGCAGTGTCTTGTAGCTGATAACCAATGCTACCTTCTCTTTGAATTACCTTCTAAATAAATTACCGTTTTTTTTTTCCAAAATTTAGTTGTAACCAGTCTTCTACAGCAGTTGTCCTAAAATACAGTAGACTATCAGTAAACAGAAGTCTGTCGAACATAAGTGCTGCTTTATGGGCATAGAGTTTCCTACATTACTTACTAGAGGGAACTCTGGCGCTAGTGTCTATGGGAGCTGCAACGCGCGGCGCTTCAACGAGCATGGGAATAATGGGTAGTACACATTTGTCTAATTTTCGTACTTCTGGCCTGCCTCTGGCTCCATGTGTGTTCGTGTGGCTTGGAGCTGTTTTTTTAACGAAAACATAAATTAGCAAATGTTCATTGTTTGCACTTCACAACCTTATTCTTTTAGGCTTAACATTTTGAATCAAGTCACTAAGTTCAAAAGGGTTTGTTCTTTCTTTCAAAACAAAACCGTAACCAGCAATAAACGAAGCCGCAAGTACGAACACTAGGCAAATGTGTGTACTACCCATCATTCCCACGGTCGCTGAACAATTGCAGCGCCAGAGGGCCCTCTAGTTAATTTTGAGCAATTCTATGTTTAAGGGAACGACTGTCTCCAGCACGATTGGTTTTGTACTTGGATTGTCCATCCTCGCTCATTTCTCAGTAAAAGGAACTCCCGTTAAAGACAACACATTTGCCTGGTCTATTCATGTCCCGGTTAAAGAGAGTCTACTGTACACATGACTGCTCTGTAGGGACTCTCTCGTCGGACTGGACGGGGTGTCCCTGTAATGCTTTGTTCTATAGTGCAAGCAACCGTGAACCGCAACAATTTGTACAAGAAATGGACATTAGCATCGAAGCAGTGCACCACTTATACAAGCTAGTGTTCAAGGTATTCCTGTGTTATAATGCCACCCTTTTTTCTGGCACCCACGTTGAGAGAGTGTTTTGTCTAGAAGCTGACCTGTTAATTAAAAACTATGCAGAAAAAAATTCTGTTGAAGGTTAACAGCGTGCAACACTTTCATCACACAGAAGCTGCATTAAGCGTCCCAGCCTTCACGAAAGCCTGCAGCTTTTCACTACCATGCAGATCGCAAGCGTTCATTGTAGCTTGAATAAACTTGTTATTGCGTTATGGGGCAATCAACTTTGATTTTATTCACATGTGGGGTTCAACGTCCCAAAACCGTCATATGACTATGAGAGATGCTGTAGTGGAGGGCTCCGGAAATTGCGACCACCTGGGGTTCTTTAATGTGCAGCCAAATCTGAGCACGCGGAGCGGACCCTACAGTGTTTTCCCCTCCATCAAAAATGCGGCTGGGATTGGTCCCAGGACCTGCATGTCAGCAGCCACTACACTACTAGACCTTAACCACTAGACCTCCGCGGCGGGGCTTGGCAATAAAATTTCACCGGAAAGCAATGCAAAAGTAATCGACTACATTTCTGTAATTGCTCAGTTACTACATTTCTGGGGCTGTAATTGATCACTGTAAAGATATGAATTTTAAAGGAAGTAATCGCTAATATAATGGGTATTCATTTTTTGTATTGTTTGCAAGTCTGCGGGCTGCAAATGTTGGTTACCTTCAGTTTGTGTGCTCTTGTGCAATAATGATATCTGAGGTTTACCTGCAAAAATCATGATATCATATTGAGGTAGGACGTAGTAGACGGCTTTGAAAATTTCGATCGCCTGGTGTTTTTTAACATGCATTGACGTTTTGTGCAATTGTGGAAGGTGTTTTAGTCAAACATTGTCATTGTAGCATTGCACAATCCTTTTAGCCTTAAAGTATTTCCTCGCGTACCACCTGAAAGCATCAAGTCTGGTCAGCTGCCAGCTTGCAAGATTGTCACATGCTCTGTGACGCCAACAGGCAGATAAACGAGTGTTCGACATTTGCCATCATGGCTGCTGGCGGCGCTGACTGGTACTCCTAAGTTTGAATGCACGTACATTTCCCACAAAATGGATAGGGGGACGGGTGCCGCTGAAACCCAGTTTGTGGAACACCGATGTGTTATTCGAAGGTCGCAGGTTCGGTCTGTGCCTACCACAAGTTATCATTTATTATACTTTTTTGTCGTCACATTTCCATTACAATTATTTTTAATAACATCCCCTATATGTTCCTTCACATCATAATCTGGTAGCTCTCATTAATATTGTGTCTAACAAAGGAAAACGAGCCCTGAAATTTTCACTCCTTTCATTTATTAATTTTTGTGTGTGTGTGTGAAATGTCAAGGATCCACTGGAAGGCAACTTGCAGGTACATTTTTTGATGGACTAACATACAACATCTAAGAATAACAATTACATTTGACAAAGACCGTGATGTTGTCAGCAAATATAACATTATCACAGCAGTTGCAACACAATGACTGTGGGCCGAGAAAGAATGGAGTTCTGCGATAGAGAGAATTTTTGGCTAGAAAAAATTTTTTTTAATGAAAAAGCATGCTTTGAAAGAAACAATGATATCCTTCCCGCATGTTAGAAAAATTATTCTGAAGTGTGATCAGTTTTGCTGCTATAAAACTGCTTTCAGTGTCAAAAGTCTTTGAAGCACCTGGTTCACGAAGCTGTCACACACTTTATCGCGGTACTATTGTCCGTCATCAGGAAGTTCTTGTCGTCTGAAGAAATGACACCCTGGTGATGTTGGCCGACGCTCTTGATGGGAAGCCTACCCAAGCATGTAGGGAAAGCAGTAAGGAAATGTTGTGTCACGACGAATGCCACTACCCTTGCAATGACATAAGCGAAGTGTCTGACAGCCTTGTGATTGAGGCCCAAGCTCTGTGTCCGGTTGTTTTTCGGTGGTTGTTCATCTTGCAGGAGTTTCTTGCCGACCGGTGCAGTAAGCTTGAAACCGACGCAGTTCAGGCCATCACCACCAACTTTCCGTCACTGCGAATACTGGCCATAGAATACCACCGCGCAAATGATGTGGGTGAGCATTCAACCTAAGCGGTGTCTAAGCGAGTAAACAGATCAGTGTAAGGCTGCTACAAGACAGTTTATTTATAGGCATCTTATTTAGAAAACATTCTCAATGGCCTATTGACATGAGCAGTGCGTAAGTTTCTTTCTGCAGTATGGCGGTTTATAAGGTTGCAACTTTGTACGCCCCTTTTAGGCTCCTATACACTCAAACCTCAATATAACAAACCCGGATATAACAAAAGATTGGTTATACGAATTGAATTTACAATAGTCTAGCAATAGCTGTAGTGTTAGGAATATACCTTTGTAACAAAGTTTTTGATGTAACGAGTTTATTTATTGTGCGAGATGCAACATTGTTATTCTCAGTTTTGGGTGTATAGCGCCTAACTTAAGGCCTCTCTACAGTCGTGATACACCGCCATTGCAACCATCGGTCATCGCTAACACCACATGAAGAGCCATGGCGCCCTTTGGCCACCTATGGCCCTCGTGCCCCGAAACCCTACTTATCATCACGAAGGCTTCAACTTAAAAATATTTTAAGGCAGGTTTGTTGACGATTGAGTTGCAAAGCTTAGCTAGCTTGGCTGTTGTCATCAGCAGGGTATAGGTGAAATAACTAAAGTTAGTGCAGCAGCTTAGCACGTAGGCTTTATAAACTGTTGATTGACAGTGCGTGAGGAAATGCACTGTCAGTCAAAGTGCGTGAGCAGGTATTTCCTAGAGCTGAAGGTTTGTGTACTATAGTTGCGTGGAAAAGACACAAGTGGGCAATGTTTTTTAGCTGACAATTCCGCATATAATGATGCCTAATTCGTATTGTTGGCATTGACGCATGGTTATGTCAAAAACAGCAGAGGAACAAGAGAGAGATTGGGGGACATTCAGAAGAAAAATGCTGCAAGGCTGTGTGTGCACTGTAACTTGAAATTGGAATAATTTGAAAGTTGGTACTACTCGCTTCACTGTGTTGTTACTTTTGGCATTCACAGGATTCTTCGTCCGTGTGGCATCAGTTTCTCGACTCGTGTGCGAAATTTCGCCAGCATTCCGCATCACATTTTATTGATGCCTATATTTCGCTTGCTCTATCATGAGCCATTCGTCGCCATCGCGTCGCAAGTTTCTGGAAAACCAGAAAAAAAAACACTTGTCACCCAGAAAATATCATGGCTACTACCGCAACATGGTAGCACCCCCGATTATCGCTTCAGTTGCGATTTGCTCTTCATGCTTAAAGGGGTACTGACACAAAAACTTTGACCTCGCATTTTTCTGCTCCAATCCGTAGCTGGGGGCCTGTTAGTGATGACACGACACATCATTTGCTGCGGCACGTGACAGATAATTAATTACAGGCTCCTCATTATCAATCAGTTTCCGTTTGAGAGAGTGCCAAAAACTGGATGCAACTGTCGCCATTTAGCGTGTGGAGCTCTTGACCACGTCAGCACACAGAACTGTGACACACTTCTGCACGGTCCGCATCCAGAATTACTTTCGAATAGGAAACTGGGCTGGAATGTCGGGAAACACAAAACTTTCTTATCCGGCTTCAGGAACTAGCGAAGCAAAAAAAAAAAAAAGAAAAAAAGAAAAAAAAACTTCAGGAACTAACGCGTCAAAAAAAAAAAAAAAAGGCAGCTATGACGTCATCATAACTTGTTTTGTTGACTGCAGCGTGGTGACGGGGGGGGGGGGGGGAATTAGAGGGTCTCCTCCGAAGGTGTCTATAGCGCTATGGAGTCGGTTGCTCACGCAAACTTCAAAATTAATTTAAAGTGCCTTCCAAGCTATATTCACTATTGATATCTTACAGATGATATACGAATGTTCAGGAGAATCGACCCTGCAGGCTATCTTGGCCCCGAAATTTTGTGTCAGTACCCGTTTAATCGTGCCATGTGGGATCGCCTCCCAATCTTAAACATAGAGCATTTCATATCCTGCAACGCTCGACTGCTTTGAACCAGGGGTCATCGATATGTATGTTCCTGTAAAACTCAGTAATAGCCAATCATAATTTGTGATACCAGTGTGCCATTGCATATTTGTGTTAACAACAAAATGCATTTTCTTTGCACTTCTGGTTGCGATTAAAAAAAAAAGTAAGTCTCCGCAAGTAACTCCTTCAATTTTAGCTCATGTGGGGGAATGTTGTATTTATATTCCTTTGACACTGTGCATTTGAGTTCAATCTTGATGATTTTTGATGTTTTGTGGTGCAAGTGCCTTTTTGTGTGTGTGTGTGTTCGATCTTAACATGTGAATATTGTATTTACTCGCGTACTGAATGCACTCGCATAATAAATGCACTCCAAACTTCAAGCGTTAAATTAGGAGTTCTCCCCCCCCCCCCCCCCGCCCACTTAATATACGTACCCCCTACATTCATCTGCTGCAGTCGGCTAACCGACACCTGACACCTCTTTGCCCTTTGGGTCTCTTTCATTTTTTATTATAATGCCGATTTTTTTCAGCCACCTCGCGTTGATTTCTGCCCCCTTTCGGCCGCTGCTGCGCGCCGCTTTGTTTTTCTATCTGTGCGCAGTACGTCCCTTGTATTTTTCAATTATCTATGCGCCACAGCAGTGTTTACGAACAGTGCAAGTGTAGAGACATTGCAGCTAGCTGATAAGCACACAGTGAGCGAAGGTCAGGAAACTACCCATGCCAACCGACGGTCACTTCCTGTAAATACAAAATTTTAAGGCAGCAACAACATGCACACGGTTTTTGACCGACAACAACAGGGTTTACTGTTTCCATGGCTGTCAGCAAAGAGCCATTCGTCGCCATCGCTTCGCAGGTTTTTGGAAAACTAGAAAAAATTCGCTTGTCGCCCAGAATAGATCGTGACTACTTCGGCAACATCATAGTAGCACCCCCGAGTCTCGCTTCAGTTGCAATTTGCTCTTGATGCTTGTTATTCATGCGTAATTCAAATCAGTAACCTCTCATGTGGGCAGGGAAGCGGAGGCCATATTTTGTCGTTAATCTTGTTCTCCGCGGTTTCTTTTTATACTTCGGTGATAGCTCGCTGTAATGCTGGTCACTTGTTGCAGTGTCAACGGTGGCAGTGCGATCGTCGTGCGAGGTTGCCACAAAGTTGGCAAAGCGCGTCATAGCGTGCACTTCTGGGCGCCCCTGGAGATCACAGCTGATGCCGCTGTTGCAGTTAAACTATTGTGAGAAAATATAGCCATGAAACACTCTAATGGCGCGCACGGGCAGCACAGGGACAGCTTGCAGAAGGTCCAACCACCGAAGATGAGTGAAGTGCAACAAAGAAGATGTTTCCAAACAGTGCATGCGTTTGTCGATTGCAAAAAGCTCAGCGACCTAACTTTTTTCCCATCACCGCATTTTTCGCTCATCCCGAAAAAGTTGTCATTAAATTCGCCCCGCATAAAGAATGCACCGCAAATTATGCGCCAATTTTTCCCGAAAAAAAAGTGCGTTCATTGGGTGAGTAAATATAATATATTGTAAGGACATGATCATAATTTCTTATTGAATCAAATATTTGTGCTCATAATGTGGATTTGCGCTTACAGTAATGAAAAAGTTACGACATTACTTGCTTGCAGCAAGTTTCCTTTGCTGAAACTTGCGACATAAATGTAGTTAGGCTTACAAGTTATGCTTTAGGGAGGCCAGGCTTTCGTATACTGTAATTCAAACCACGATGTAACCAAATACTCGGTATAACGAATTATATAACAATAGTCTTCAGTAGATGAATTGTTTGGAGTAAACCTCTGTAATGAATTTTCGGATATAACGAACTTATTGTCATGTAATATGCAACTTTGTTGAGATGAGGTTTGAGCAGCATGTTGTTGTTGTCACTTCTTGTGTAGCATATGGAGGAATGCCTGCACAAGAAGTCTTTTTCTTGCCCTTTGAGCTCCTCAATGATTGATCCCTTTTAATAATCAGCAGAAAAAGAAAAAATGGAAGCAAGTGGGAAATAATAATAAAAAGGAACACATAGAGAACAGAAAGGGCAAGAAATAAGAAGAAATAGAGCTACACTCAAACCTCGATATGATGAAATATCTGTTATAGCAAAGTAAATGAAAGTAGTCTTGCAATATATATAGTGTTAGGAATGTACATTTATGACGAATTTTGAGATATAAGAAGCTTTTTCAGTGTAAGATGAAACTTTGTTATGATTAGGTTCGAGTACAAAAAAAAAAAAAGAATATAAGAAAGAAAAGAAACGAAGAAGGCTGCTGATCTGCGCACTTCTGTCATGCTTGGCAGCTTTCGTGAGAAGATTGCGTGATTTTCTGTCCAGGGTTCAAAACAGCCATAACATTTCGTTTCATTGTAACGCAGAACCTGAAGCAATATCAATGAGAATGGAGAAGAAAGGCGAAGTGTCCTGGTTCGTCTTCTACTGACGTTTGCTGAGCAGTCGGCCAACTGGTTTACGCCACGATAAACAAGGTAACCCATTGCAGTTAATTTCTTTTTTGAACACTCTTGGGCAGGACCAGCGAGAATGGAGAGGGATGGCAATTGCTCCTGGTTGATCTTCTGCATTCGCTGAGGAATTGGCCTGCTGGTTTACGTCAGGGTAAACAGTTCCCATTGCTCTCGAGATGCGACGCATCTTAGGCTGCAGCTTTGTCCGGCGTGTGGTGTGATCATCCTTGCAGCGCATGCGTGCCCTTCCCGCTCTTGCTGTTTTGTACGCTGCCCCCAGCTGCTTGCAGACTGACCGAAGTCGTAGACTCTTGCTCGACTAATCACAGCATATTTGGATCGGCGCGTCAGGGATATTGGAACGGCACGCCACGCGGAGGCACAAAAGGCCTGGAAGAAAAGAGGGATTGTTTCTTGGAAATTGTGGCGCGCCGCCGGCTTGTAGCGCTTCCACGTGTAGAATCTTTGATCGCGACGGCATTCTGCACACGATGCACGTGTTTACTTGAAATGTTTGAAAAAATATCGCAGTTAGTTTATGAGGTTTGCACTTTCTTTCATTCATAGCGGGGGGCTTCGTTCTCTCAGACTTTATGCCTTGAGCTGGTATCTGAGAGATTATTTATTAGCTGCCATCTTGTAATAAGATCATGTTATACGTTACTCCGAACAGGCATAATAGTTGCACATTCGCTGTAATGGCATGAGATGGCGCTGATTGGAGCTCCGTTTAAATCCATATATATGTGCTATAAAGTGGATGGGGGGCTGACCACAATTGTAGCTCGGTGATACAATCGAAACCCGCAATAACGAAATCGTCAGGGAAACCGAAAAATTTCGTTTCCGTAAGAATTTCGTTGCCGGGAGTATGAGACATAAAAACACTGATATGGCCAGCAGAACGAAAAGAGGGACGAAATGATGGACGCAACGAAGGATAGGATTGTGTCGCTGCAAGGCTGCTTAACATGATGATGATATTGTTGCCGTTCTTTCTTTTTTTTTTTTTTTGCGATCAACGGAGAATCCGCTTCCGGCGTCAAGCTTTTCTGAGACGCCATTGTAACTTCATCTTGATTTCGTCACCAGTTCCAGTCTTCCATTCGTCGTTTTGATTGATTCCAACTGTTGGTGTTGCTTCGGCCTGTTGAGCTCGTCCGACGGTGCCATCTGCACTCCAGCATGATCATTTGCCATTGCCTGCTGCAGTGTGGCCAGGCATGTTGCCGGACACAGACCCCATCACTGATTTAAGTAAACAAAAATGGTGGTACCCACGCTACCACGGCAAAGCAGACGTTTACGAATTTTTAGTGCGTATAACACGCATACGAGCATATTTTTGACAGTTAAACTTTAACGAGAGAGTAAATTAAGGCCCGCACCATGGTAGAAAATTCGTTAATGTGGGATCGCTGTCCAAAAACATTTCGTTGCCGCGAGATACATAATACATGGGCTTCTATCAACGTTCGTCGGGGATTCGGAAATATTTGTTTGTCGCGGGGATTTCGTACTCGCGGAGTTTCGTTATTGCGGGTTTTGACTGTAGAGGATCGGACGGGTTATTCAAAGGTTGTAGGTTTGGATTCTGCCAGTGGCAAGTTATCTTTTCGTCCACTTTTATTTCTTCACATTTACTCTACGATTACTTCTAATAACATTCCCTATGCTTTCTCCAGCGTTATTGTCAGTTAGTTCTCATTGATATTGTGCACATTGCCTAACAAAGAAAACGGGCCCATGAATTTACACTTTCTATTCTTCATGATGCATGTTATTGCAGATCCTGAAGATACGTCATCAAGGGGGCCAAGTTAAGCAAAAACTGCCAATGATAGAGATGTGGCAGCCTTTCGGTCACTTATTTATGAAATCAGAAGAAAGTAATTTTGGTCGCCGCATGGGGGCAGTGCTCACGAGCCTGTGGGAAAACTTCCTTCGCCAAAGTGCCATGGGAGCACACCCTGGAAGGCAAACAGGGGGATAGCTGCCTCACCGTACTTATACCAACAAGTCTTCTTTTTATTCCTCCTTATTGCCAGCATTGTTTTTTTCATAGTCACATTAGTTAATTATTCCTCCTTATTTCTAGCTGTTTTTTTTCAACGCCACATTAGTCAATGATATGCAGTCTATCCTGTGTCTTTCAAAAGATTTTATCTCTGTTGCTTTTTATAATGTGACATGGAATAGTCACTTACTGGTTTTATGCAATGACAGTTTCTCTAGAAGCTGTGGCATTCATGTAATTCATTTTTACAGATATGCTTGTATGCATGATAAGTTCTTGTTGTGTAACATAATATTCTCAGAATAAAATTTGTACACATTAGCCTTGTTACGTATTGCCTCAATAGTTCTGGTATGCTGTATAGATTGTAACACAAACACTAGAGATGTGCCATAACTTGAACATGCAGACACATGCACCATTGTTTTTATTACAATAGGAACTGTAGGGACTAGTTTTGCCGTCACTGTTGCTGTGATTTTCCATATCAAGTGCGTGTCGATAACATCGCTCCGTGCATCGTATATCCTGTGTGTTGGTGAAAGTGTGCCAGAGCTGCAAACGATCGCTGCTCAAGCGGGAAGACAACATGCCAGCTGTCCTTGTCGTCTAAATGGCGCATGGGGGTGTTTCAGAGTGGGGGGTAGGCTGCATAGATTGTGCAAGCGCCGTATACTTTGACCTGTCATATCTGCATAGGGGATCAGCAGACCACTGATACCATATTTTTCTCGCCGTGATCAAGGAATAGACCTGTCTGCAAACAATGTGATGTTACTGCGAGCAGCCCGCCCTGGGGTTCAACAGCTGCGCCAATTTGATACAACTCCCAATTTTCGCCCTGAGCTGTGCCAAAACCATGGAATTTGCTGAAAGTATCGCTGGCTGCAGCGGATACCTATCGACGGGACGACGCAACTTCAAGTCCTCATAGTAACGGCACATGAAACTTTTTCTGTCGAAGTTGCATTAGCTGCGTCATCTTGGTGATAGATATCTGTGATATAACATGCCTTGTAAGCAAACCGAGAAGTTGTGCCCTAAACCTCACCCCATCGTGAAAAAAGGATGAAGGGGTGGGTGGGGGGGGGGGCATTGCGATGTTCTGAAATTGTTAGGTTTTGTTCTAATCCATGCAGAACACTGATTAAGCCACTTTCTCCACAATACATCGGTGTCCTGTGGGAAAGCGTAGCATCATTTGGAAAGGGTCGTTATGCTAGTCGCGGCACATTGCCATTTTCAATTACTCATGGGTAAATACGCCGCATAATTGTGAATACTTGTATGACCGCTAGAGTTTGAAAAAAAAAAAGAATACTGGCAATAATTTGGAGCAGTGATTTACATTTCTGTTGCCCCTATTTGCTTGTTTTCTTTTTTTCCGCCGTTCTACTCCTTAATGTCCCTTAAAAAACAAAAGTAGTGCCAAATGCGCCCATTCGTCTCTGCCTCCTTCTCCAGCAAAACCTGTGGTGTCCGCCAGGAAACTGCGGACATAGACGTCCCTTTCTCAGCACACAGGAGAGGGTAAGCCGATGTCGTCGTGGAAGCAAAAGCGAGCACGCGACAGAGGACGGAAAAGACAGGCATTTGCACTACCAAGCAGGGAGAGAGAAGCCCGCACACTGCCTCGAATGGCACTACGTTAGTTTTCAGGCAGTCTACTGCTCTTCAGTTTCACGAATTCCTTGAATTTGAAGGTCACCAGCTTTGCAGGTTTGACAGACACAGCAAATGATACTGTGAACTTTATAATTGTTTGCTTAGCGGGGTGGTTCAAAATGCAAATGTTATTCGAATAACAGTGCCGATGTTTGCTGTGTGCGAATTAGGTGATGTCAGATGGTTTATACATGTTTATTAATGTAAGCATTCTTTTTATACTGCTCCAAATTTGGTATTTTATGATAGAAAGCCGATGTATTTTCCCGTGACTTGCTCCAACCTTGCATTTTAGGGCTCCAATAGTAACATTTTGCTGCTCCAAAAATTGCTCCAAAGCCCTATTTTAGCTGCTTCACCCCTGTATCCCCTCCCTGGGAGCAAGTGCTGGTTGGCAAGAAAGTTCTGCCAGTCGGATATTTCTGCATAGCGGCACTCCATGTGTCTGCATACCTGCGACAAATTTCTGTGAATCGCTATTTTCTCGTTAAAGAACACCAGATGATGAAGATTTCTGGAGCCCTTCACTACGGCGTCTCATGTCATATATTAAAGGGGCCCCGCAACACTTTTTGAGCACGGTCAGAAAACGCTGCCGATCGGTAGTGGAAGCTCCGGACAACATGCCAGCCAAGTATTATAGCGCAGCACGAATTCACAATAAATTTTCAAAGTCGGCTAAGAATTGCTTTTTCTTCTCTTGACAAATCACGGAGTAAGCCCATCTATCAGCCATTGGCTGATTTGAACATGGTGCGCTTGGTCATTACAGAGATCACCATGGGTGGCCGAGACGTGTCCACACGTGCGTGCGATTTCGCACTGGAAAAACTAAGCCTTCGAAGAAAAAAAAAAGAAAAAAAGTGCTCAAGGTCACGAGACGCGCTACGTTTTTCTTTGCGCCTGCCGTCTATCTCTGCTTAGCTTTGCTTTCGTCGGGACGAAAGAACAGAGATTGCAATTGCAGCATGCGACGAATCTTGGCAACTTTACTCGCACAGGACGGATTTTAAAAATTTATGCGTGGTTTAATTTGTGAGGCAATAAGCTCTTCCAGGCAGTTCATTTCATGATTACTTGAAAAAGTGTTTCAGGGCTCCTTTAATTTTCGAACTCACAGCCCCCGATATTAGAATTGCTATTTCATAATGTCACAACTTTAAAAGGGAAGGGTCACTGCATAGGACGCACAATTCTATTAGATTAACATGCGAAGATTTGTTCGTTGTAGATGGCAGCCATAAAAAAATCTAAAGCGAGCGTTCTACATGTGCACGGTGTCTGGTGCTTTGAAAAACATTTGCATGGCATAAATGTAAATGTAGGATTACATTTTCCTTCAGTTTCTGTCGTGGCATTTGCACTGTAGTTTTAAACGTGCTACAGCATTGCCAGCAGAATGGTTTTGAGCTGCCATGCGCGAGATCACGGATAAGATTCTCACTCACTGCACCAAATTTTGAGTGGCGATAAATGGAAAAAAGAACAACAAAAAAGAAGTAAACACTTTTTTTTGTCGCACGCTACGCTGAGGTAAGAAATCCTCATGAAAAATAAAGCCAAGTTCTTGCTGGTGTTTCTCGTAAACCACTGGAAATTTGTGCACTTTTAAGGCCGATACGTTGTGTGCATAATTTTTTGCACAATTACCTTGCTGCCTCTGATGCCTATAGCCTATTTGCCTACTTACATTGCTCTATTACACCTGATGAACAAATTTGGAATGTGCTTTGTCGCTTCGTAACGAGTGAGCCGTAGAGGTGCAAAGTGCATGAAACAAGAATTTCCACTGTTTACATGAAGACATAGGAGCGTGTGTGTTCTTTGGATGAGTGCCTGGCTGATCCGCGCAGGAGGCTTATGGTGAGCCACTGTAACCTATTGCCAGGGGCCGGGTCACCTTATACAGGATAAAGTTCGCACGAATGGACACTGGTCCACCCTGGCATTGACCTGCACCCAAGGCAGACTGACATAAGGGTTCAAGCTATGCTAGAACGGTTCGGAACTATGCCCGAAAATCGGGAAGAATGGTGAGCTCATGTGATCAGACTGCCCAGAAACTCTGGCATACGGAACACATTGCTTGTGAGAGAACCAGACAACAAGGCTGCATCGGCAGGATGTGCTTGCGGCCCTCTGTAATCCAGCGTTGGGATGCCACTGCTAGGAGTCTGTTTTAGTAGGTTTTTCGGGAAGTTTTTGGTTCATTCATGTTTCCGAGGCGCCTGGACGGTGCAGGTTATTGTGCACTTACGTAATCCAGCTTAGTTGGAGCCGCGACCTCTGTTCATGCCCCTCCCTACCTCCATATGGTAAGCCATGGGCAATGTGTGAATGGCCACAGAGCTCTCACAGCTTAGAGGGATGGTACAGCATGAAGTTTGCCTCACCGCTACGTAGTTCCCACTTGCAAGGCATCACTATGTTGATGGTGGCGAAACAAGAGGCTGCATGTCCTCTCTGGCTTCGGTGTGCACGGCGGGAACACAACCCCTGTGGCTTGGCTATCTTGATTTGAAGAAATCTTCTTGAAAGCCCACGCCGAGTGGCGATGGGACCAAGTCGTTGCTGCCGCCGCTACAACTCTACCTTTGTTTCCTTTGAGTATTAAATTTGAGTGCACAAAGGCAGACTCGCCGTCTGGCAGTGGAACAGACGTAATTGCTTTACAAGAAATTTATGACCACGCCAAGCATACGGTGTACTACTCCGAGCGCACGGGGCCGAACATCACGATGTGCATCCTAGTAAGAAGTGGAATAGCTGTCATTGAACACATGCTGGATGTGGTGAGGGACATCGATAATGCTCTTATAGAAATCGTACTGAGCAAGGGCATGACAGCCATTACAGTGACATTGCATGTAATGTAATAAGTGGCCCAGATACGGAGCTTTTGCATTCAGCATTTGAATTCATCAATGTTTTACCTGCAATCGAATAGACAAATTGAGCGATTAAATCACGTTCTGAAGGAACACGTTCAGATTGCACAATTGAATCAGCGCACCTTCAAGAACGTCTTGACTGAATGCTTGGCTTCGTACAAGCTTTTTCCGCAGGGCATCACAGGAGTGTCTCCTGCTCAACTTCCTAATGGTAGGCAGCGTCAAGTTGCTCTCAGCATAGTTTTTATACATTGTAACACTTGAGTTCCTACGAGTACCTTAGTCTTTTCTCGTCAAAAAGCAATGAAGCAGTATATCTGGGCAGTCGTCGAGGAGCCAGACCATCCAAAGTTCGAGTCGGCGACACAGTTAAAGTTCGTGTCCTAGGAAAACGTCCCCAAGTATCGGGGTCAATACAAAGTCATGGAACAAGTTGGCCTAACTTTCTTTCGGTTGAGTGATGGCAACATATGGAACTTCTTTTGTACCATCATTTCTCATACAGATACGGCTTCAATGCCTCAAACTTCTGATCATCACTCTTACACCACTTTGCAGTACTCGGTAGACTATTGCATGTGGCCTACATGTTCAGATATCTTGTCTCGCAGGAAGGGGGGGGTGGGGGCCTTTTGGTAGGTGTAGCTGGTACCCATACACCAGGTGACAGCCGTTCACATCGAGCCTGCACCAACAACAAAGTCTATCGAACCGCGAATTGCTTCGGAAAGTCTTGTTGCAGCTGCTACTTCATGTAATGAGGCCGAGGTTGAAAGTGCAGTCTGGCCCAGTGCCTTCTCCGCCTCTTGAGGTCTCATCACCAGAGGCCGTGCAATCGCCAAACTGGTCTCAAAGAAAGCGAACTAAACCTAGCCACTTCGCGGACTACGTTCTAGACTAATACGGAGGCTCCTGTTCTCTTGTTCTTGTGTAAAGTGTTCTTGTACAAAGTTTCTGTTCTTCTATGTGCTGTGTATTCTTGATGTGCTATCCTAGGTATACTGTTCTAATGTATTTTTTATGAGTGTCTTTTTCGAGGGGGGGGGGGGGGCGGTGTTGTTTCGTTTTCTCATGTGAAGCCTTGCACAGCAGCGATGTGTAGAGGCACTGCTAGGTGGTGCCTAAGAGGCATATGATCATATATGTACACAGTTGTAAATAAAGCAGTTGGCGAAGAGCCCTTGTTCGTGGCAAATGTTCTTTCACTCGGCGCTTCGCGCCCAAGTCGTGGGTGGCTGCCACCGGCATCGTTGGCATGCTGCCGCTTCGTTCTTCTCTTCGTCGACGTCGCGGCCACATCAACCCTGGTACAACATTTCTGCCGTGGCCTTTTGCAGCTAAGCTGAACATTCGTGTGTTCCTGCTCAACGTGCCCATAAGGTCTGATTCGCTTTTACTCGCATGGGCGCAGACGTTACGGGGACCTTGAGCAGACGATGCGAAGCTGTTGTTGAGCAGTGCTGCAGAAGGTCACGGCAGAAAGACTGTCATAGTAAGAAGATATCCACGATGTTGTAGCGTCATCTAGATTTGAATGAGCAAACCAGCTGTGAAAAATCGTCTTTAAAGAGGAAAGGGCAGCAGTGGCGTACCAACTCTTTCGTGTTTGTGGGGGGGCAAACGTATCTCACTCATCAGCCATATATATATATGTATATAGATATATCTATATTTGTGTGTGTGTGTGCGTGGGTATGTACGTTGTATTTTGAACTCTAAACGACAATTCGAGTTGAGTGAGAACAAGATAGCCCGACTCTTCGTTAGGCCTGCATTGTGCTAAAAACCACAGTCCCTCACCTTCTCCCTGGTCCAGTGGGTCAGGCTGCGGGATGATTGGTCCATAAAACGATTGCTCGTTCCCATTCATAACAAAGCAGGCAAAGCAATATACGCTTTCATGCCTTGTACTGTAGCCTGCTTTGCAATGCTACTGAACAAGGCACAAAAGCATCGCATAGGCGGCCTGCAAGGCGAAGAGCCTTCCAGGAAAATGGTCACAGCAGAAATGTTGAAAAAATTTCACTATATTAATACATTTCCTGGTAACATTTTTATTTCCTCGTAACAATATAATTGAGAGATTACTGTGTTGAAGGAAAACTTCGCTTTAGTTGTTGGTTCTTTCAGCGTACAGCGACCAATGTCAAAAGTGGGAAGGCTCAGCTTCCCCCCCTCCCCCCAACCTTTTCTGAGTGGGGGGGCTCGCGCACCCCTGCACCCCTGGCTGATACGCCTATGAAGGGCAGTGCTTCTCAAAGAGCTGCTGTGGTTGAGCGAGAGGGAAATATTTTAATGAAGAGCTGAAGATGTTCGGCTTTTCGCCTGATGTGCTACTTCAAGTGCTGAGTGATGACAATGATACATATTGTGATAAACACATAACGCATACAGCCACACATGTAGACGGTGCTATTTACAAAATTTCATTAAAACTTGTGGCCCGCAAAAAAGCAAGCAGCACTTTTGTGGCATGTAGTGTATTGGAGCAGTTTTGACAAGGCCCAAAATATGTGTGAATGCCTAATTGAAGTGCTGTAAGAGATTTAAAGCATCCTTCAGTGACTTCAAATTGGTGGAAGTGGTACGAGGTTTGTGGGTGCTTCAACATGGCAACACTTCATATGAAGGATCACGTCACAAGCCACGTTAAAATGTAAGCTCAGAATTTTATTTAATATATCATGTCATCGAAATGGGACTAAGTCGCAATCTGTAACTATCCTACCTTCATGAGTGGCCTAAATTAGTAGACTTGAACAACCGCACATCGAAAAGTGAAAAGAGGCAAAGTCAAGTTCCTCTCATCACTAGTCCAATCAAGGTGTGAAACTGCGACGGCCATCTAGCACACTTGCCGTATGGCTCAGTTAGCTAAGTAATAGGAAACAGGCACCATACAAAAAAAAATTGTTATCAGAGAACAGCCACTACATAATTTACCATACAAGTTCCACTATGCAAGAGAAAAAAAGATGCAGCACTTGCGTTTATTGGCTACAGCACAACATTACATGCTTTTTTTTCCATAACTCTATCGCAAGAACTGGCCCAGGAGTAATTAGTTATGAGGTAACGGCTGGTCTGCGGGCCTGGTTGGGTGAGTAGCTTGAATGTGTTCATGCGGTATAGTAATAGTTGCTCTGCGTCCTGAGACCAGGATAATATAATTATATGAGATATGCCATAGAGGAGGGCTTTAGTCCATCTAGTATGCTTGAACATGCACTGACATTGCACAGTAGACGAGCTTCTAGCATTTGGCCTCTGTTGAAACGTGGCTGCCTTGGCCGGGATGAAACCTGCCACTTTTGAGTCAGCAGTTGGGCTCTAATTAGTACTATACCACGACGATAGACTGATGTGGCATACTTCTGCCCACTGCAGCTTTAGATGTGTATAGGCCCGTAGTATGCGATAAGTAAAAAAAATATGAGCGATCCTTAAAGTTTGCCTTAAAGATTTGAATGCGATAGCGGTATTCTGTTAGTGCGTACTTCAAGCACTTAGTGCGTGGCAGTAACGTGTGCGAGTTTTATTGGGAGTGCTCCGCGTTAAACCATAAAGCCATGATGATAATCACATGCTGTGACACCTGATGGCAACGAACGGTTGTACCACACATTATTACATCCATATTTCATGTTGCATTGTGAAGCATGTATACAAGACATGTGCGTTTGTAAAGCATGGAAGTAACTTTCACTGCATTTTCAAGCTGAACAAGTCCTTTTTGAGGCCCACCACGGTGGTTTAGTGGCTGAGGAACTCGGCTGCTGACCCTCAGGTCGCGGGATCAAATCCCGGCTGCATTTTCGATGGAGGCCAAAATGCTGTAGGCCTTTGTGCTCACATTTGGGCGTACGTTGAAGAGCCCCAGCTTTTTGGAGCCCTCCACTATGGCGTATTTCATAATCATATGGTGGTTTTGGGAAGTTAAACACCACATATCAGTCAGTCAAAGTGATTTATTGTACACTTTATTCACAAGCAGGTGCATGGCTGTGTGGTAGAATGCGCGCTTTCCATGGTAACGGCCCCGGTTCATTCCTCACTCGGGACCAGAATTAATTTTTTCTTATTAGATGCAACTTTGGTTAGAACTAACAGACAGCCAAGCCAAGGAATTTTAGGAGATATCTGTAGTAACCATGACAAATGCGAAGTATTCAAAACGAACACGCAATAATTTTGTCTTGCCGCCGGCGGGGATCCCAAACTGCGACTTTCGAACAACGCCTCCGATTCGCTTTCAATCGAGCTACGGCGACGGTTACTTCCCGTTCGTTTTACCGGGAATATCTGTCCACGTAAACCTGGGAGTATTAGTTTGTGAGCGCCTTGCGTGTTATTTCTAAAATTTCTGTGTTGTCTATGAAGCACGCTGCACATAACTGCCAACGCTCGCATGAAAAGCAGCAGTCGGATATGACCGGCGAACCTCCGTGGAGGTCGGACAGTACGTTCAGCACCACGTCGATGGCCAAAAGCGCGAACCGAAGCAATGTATTACCCGTCAGATGCGGTTACTCGCCATGTTTACGAAAGCGCGCGGGTAGAGTGTACTAGAAACGCGGTGAAAGTACGCTTGTTTACAAACAGTTGCCATGACAACCATGCAAACGATAGAACCGCAGTAAACATTATAAAATATTGTTGAACAGTAAATGAACTTTATTTACAATAAAAAATAAAACAAACGTTTCATAAAAATTACAGCCAAAATGATGTACATTTTATTGTTCGTGTGTCATATTTTGTTTTCTACGTGCGGGCCTTGTAAATATTCCCCCATTGGCGCGCACATGGGTTGGTCGTGTTCTGTGGGTTGGTCGGTGTTGTCAATTTGTGTGAGGATAAAGCAGTTGTTAGAGTTCCAACAAACAAAGCGTTGGACGTGTTAAAATGAATGAACAGCGTGGTTCCGGTGGACGAGAAGTGCGTCTCCTGCAAGACATGTGTGTATACATTCTGTTACTAACGAAACTGCAATACTTTTGAAAGCAACGCCAGGATTGTCGGTCTGACCCTCGTGCAAGCTTGTTCTACGTGTGTGGGTGCGCATTTATGCAACAACGAAATATTCGGGTGTATTTTGAAGCCCTTAGAACAATCCCCTGGCTTCACCAGTGGTACGAATGTTATTGCACTGGATAACATCGTATTTTTTTTTACAACCCCAGGGAAATGTCTAGACGAGATTGAATAACTTGCATTTCTTATACAAAGGTCTCGAACGTTTAAAAAACCATGGTGTCAACGGAATTCGACCGACCCGGTGTTGATTACCGACAAATCCGTTCAAACCACGCTGCTGAGCATGGGTGCCGTAAATCGTGCAAGTGTACAATGGAACTGGACAGCACATGCCTGTGCTGTCTCGTTTTGATGTCTCGTGTACTTGTTTGCATCACTCATTTTGTTCCACTATGAATCTGTACCGACTGGTTCAGACTTGTGGTCTTCTTTAATAAATTAGTTTTACTCGTTTCTTTTTTTTTTTCAGATGCCTGGATGCTATTACTGACTTCACAGATGTGAAATGGTTCCGGGATTTCGTGCTGCCACGTTGCCTCGCCGATCACTACTACACACGACTGCAAAGACGACGGTCTTTTAAGGATCATCTCGTACCTGTGGTATGCACCATTTCAATAATTCGCGTGGTAGCGCTGTTGCATACTTTCTGTAAATAGGTTGGGCCAGAATAAGGGGTACTTGTTATGAAACACTAGAACATTGTAATCGTGAGATTCAAAGAAATAGGAGTGGCTTAAAAACATGGGCGCGCCTAATGTGCCTGCAGTTTTTCCTTATTGGCTTCCCGTGACCATGTGATTATCTGCCGGCACATTTCTGATGAGCCTGTCATGCTGGCTCGCAGCATTTTTAGCATTAAGCCGTCGTTTGGCTATTTTTGCTCTCAGACATTTCGCTACACTGATCAACATTGTCAAGGCCTGTGGTTCTCAAACGTAACCTAACCTAACGAGCCCCACAGGCATTGTCCAGGCAGTATGCGGCTGGCTCGCAGTGACGCTTGTTCCTAGTGTGCCTCATGTCGTGAGGTGAGCTTCTGTGAAGTGGACAATATAACGCCTAGGTAGTGGTGTTCCTGTATTTGCATGCTATTTAGCGCGCGTATACCCATAAACACCCGGTGCATTGGACAGTGAAGATACTTTTATAAAATTTAGTTTTTCAAAGAAAGTTTCAAACAAATGTGTAATGAACGAAATAGAAATTTAAAGGTTAGTTTTTCTCTTGTTATATCCAAATTTGGTAAGACCTAACAGACAGCCAAGCAAAGGAATTTAAGGGAATAACTGTAGTAACCATGACAAATGCGAAGTATTCAAAACGTACACGGAGTAATTTTGTCTTGCCGCCGGCGGGGATCCCAAACTGCGACGTTCGAACAACGCCTCCGATTCGCTTTCAATCGAGCTACGGCGACAGTCATCTTCCCGTTCGTTTTACCGAGAATATCTGTCCACGTAAACCTAGGAGTATTAGTTTGTGAGCGCCTTGCGTCTTGTTTATAAAATTTCTGAGTTACATATGAAGCACACTGCACATAACTGCCAACGCTTGCATGAAAAGCAGCAGTAGGATATGACCGGCGAACCTCCGTGGAGGTCGGACAGTACGTTCAGCACCACGTAGATGGCCAAAAGCGCGAACCGAAGCATTATATTACCTGTCAGATGCGGTCGCTCGCCATGTTTACGATAGCGCGGGGCTAGAGTGTACTGGAAGCGCGGTGAAGTACGCTTGTTAACAAGCAGTTGCCATGACAGCCATGCAAACAACAGAACCGCAGTAAACTATATAAAATATTGTTGAACAGTAAATGAACTTTATTTACAATAAAAATGAAAAAATGTTTTTACAGCCAAAACGACGTACATTTTATTGTTTGTGTGTCATATTTTGTTTTCTACGTGCGGGCCTTGTAAATATTCCCCCATTGGCGCGCACATGGGTCGGTCGTGTTCTGTGGTTTGGTCGGTGTTGTCAATTTGTGTGAGGATAAAGCAGTTGTTAGAGTTCCAACAAACAAAGCGTTGGACGTGTTAAAATGAATGAACAGCGTGGTTCCGGTGGACGAGAAGTGCGTCTCCTGCAAGACATGTGTGTATACATTCTGTTACTAACGAACCTGCAATACTTTTGAAAGCAACGCCAGGATTGTCGGTCTGACCCTCGTGCAAGCTTGTTCTACGTGTGTGGGTGCGCATTTATGCAACAACTTAATATTCGGTGTGTTTTGAAGCCCTTAGAACAATCTTTGGCTTCACTAGTGGTGCGAATGCTATTGCACAGGATAACATCGTATTTTTTTTTTTACAACCCCAGGGAAATGTCTAGACGAGATTGAATAACTTACATTTCTTATACAAAGGTCTCGGACGTTTAAAAAACCATGGTGTCAACGGAATTCGACCGACCCGGTGTTGATTACCGACAAATCCGTACAAACCACGCTGCTGAGCATGGGTGCCGTAAATCGTGCAAGTGTACAATGGAACTGGACAGCACATGCCTGTGCTGTCTCGTTTTGATGTCTCGTGTACTTGTTTGCATCACTCATTTTGTTTCACGATGAATCTGTACCAACTGGTTCAGACTTGTGGTCTTCTTTAATAAATTAGTTTTACTCGTTTCTTTTTTTTTTTTTTTTCAGATGCCTGGATGCCATTACTGACTTCACAGATGTGAAATGGTTCCGGGATTTCGTGCTGCCACGTTGCCTCGCCGATCACTACTACACACGACTGCAAAGACGACGGTCTTTTAAGGATCATCTCGTACCTGTGGTATGCACCATTTCAATAATTCGCGTGGTAGCGCTGTTGCATACTTTCTGTAAAAACGCTGGGCCAGAATAAAGGGTACTTGTTATGAAACACTAGAACATTGTAATCGTGAGATTCAAAGAAATAGGAGTGGCTTAAAAACGAGGCCGCGCCTAAAGTGCCGGCATTTTTTCCTTATTGGCTGCCCGTGACCATGTGATTATTAGCCGGCACATTTCTGGTGAGCCAGTCATGCCACTAGCTGTATTTTTAACCTTAAGCCGTCGTTTGGCTATTTTTGCCCTCAGACATTTCGCTACACTGAACAACATTGTCAAGGCCTGAGGTTCTCTAACGTAACCTTACCTAACGAGCCCCACAGGCATTGTCCAGGCAGTATGCGGCTGGCTCGCAGCGACGCTCTTTCCTAGTGTGCCTCTTGTCGTGAGATGAGCTTCTGTGAAGTGGACAATAATGCCTAGGTAGCGGTGTTCCTGTAGCTTGGGCAGCTCCTCGTCGTTTGGCAGCACCAGACCAGCCTCGGCACACTCCTCAGAGAATGTGACTGGAAACCCTGCCATAGGAAAGAACTGCCGGCATCTGGTCAGTTGATATACTCTGCCGGTTGCCGGCAATATAGACACTACCTAAAAACAATATAAAATATAATCTTCATCTTTCAAACTCGTACTCGCTTTGGTTGTTTAAAACCTAAGAAAAATAATAAGCTCTGCCTGTCGAACCAGCTGATATTAAACAGTTGTCCTTCACCCATAGACGTGCTCAGAGTTTCCCCATCAGGAGAGGGTGAAGGTTCATTGCAGTGCAGCGCCCTCTCCCTATTAAGTTAATATGCGGGGCAGATTTCGTTCCTCCCCCTCGCCCCACCTCTACCTCTTGAATAATTAAAAAAAATTGGCAGATCCGCGTGCCTTGGGAAGTTATGCAAAGCATGCAGAGGAAAAGTGACTGTGTTGTAATTTTTACTTGAGCGACACGTCATGAAATTAGTCCAATTATATGTATAATGTTACACGCAGAGACATATGTTGAAGAGTTGCAGATGTTCATAAAACCAGTTCTTTGCTCTTGCGCAACGATGCCGACGGGAACCTGAGTATTAGCAAACACCAGAAGCGATAAGCTGATATGCAGTGATTGTCCTTGAAATGGTGGTGGCCCTTGACGTTGCTATTTCAGCGTAATATACGTTAGCCGTACGGAATGGCTGTAGCATAGGAGTACATATGTAATGTTTATAAAATTGGATAGCTCGCACTGCAACCACAATTTATGCTTCACGAACGTTACGGTCTAATTGAAAAGTAGTTCCGAGACCTGGCGTGGCTCCTTGGTAGAATGCTTGGTTGCCATGCAGAATGCTTCGGTTCGATTCCTGCTGGCACCTAGACATTTATTCTTTGCTTCACAGCTTTGCGACAAATTTATTCTTTGGGTCACAGCTGCTGATTTCGAGTTTTTCATAATGCTCAAAATTGCCCATGTGTGATCTTGTAGTTCCCGAGTGGATACCAAGTGTCAATCACCTGTGGCACTCATCCGCCCATTGGTATGTGTCTCTTTGGCAGGAGGTGTTTGACGATGTGACCTTATTGTGACCTTATTGTGACCTTATTTTTGTCTTGACGAGCGCATCATATTCGTCAAAGCAGCTTACCCTCCCATACTAATTTTGCTTCACACTAAGTTAAGGGGGTGATCACGAGAGGAGCCAGGCGTAAACGGCTAGATAGATTGATAGATGTGGAGAAAGACTCTGGAAGTGCTTGAAATCCGCAAAGAAATGCCTCGAATTTAAAAGGTGACTCCGCACCCCGCCCCGAACCCCTTTCATAAGCCTATGCCGTTACTAGTGAAAGGCAGTCGTGCTGGTAGGTTTGCGCTTGAACCTTATGGTTGTGCAGCTAATGCAGATATCACTTGTATTGAGAGTCAAAGGTTCATTATAATTACCTAAAAAGTTGTGCTTGGCTGAATAACATTGTCAGTTTTCCTGGTGAAATTCATCAGGACGTTCAAGTTTAAGTCCATAAATGAGCGAAACAAACATCTGTCATTTAGGGACAGGCAGCTATCTGAAACACTTGTGAAGTATTTGATGCAACAAAATAAATTAGTGCTATTGTATGAAGCAGTTGCAGCTAGGCAGGGGCCGAGACAACTGGCATTGCTAAAACAAAGGCTTCGAGACCAGGAGTCGTTATGCGACGAGGGCACATGCGCCGTGGCATCGTGGAAGATTAATTCTCCGTAGAAGGGACGGGCGTGGCTGGGGGCAAAACAGACATTTTTTCTTGCGCTGCTGTCGTGTACACTACCTTTCTTCGCATTTCTTTTCCTGTTACGTACAGGTGCTACACGCCAAGTCCATCGAAGCAGATTTGGCCGAGAGTCCTGTCACGGCAGCCGCCCTTGTTCACGTCAGGAAATGCACGCAGCTGGAGAAGCTCACCTTTTCCTCGGTGCCTTGGAATGACTTGCTCTGCGAAACTAGTAAGCCTGTCGTCTATGCTCTGTCTGCACCTGCAGTGCTACCAACTTTCGAGACAGCTTGATAACTTTAAAAAAATTATTTATGCCCCGTTGCGGTGGTCTTGGGGCTAAGGTACTCGGCTGCGGACCCGCAGGTCGTGAAATCGAATCCCAGCTGCGTTTTCAATGGAGGCGGAAATGTTGTAGGCCCGTGTGCTCGGATTTGGGTGCACATTAAAAACAACCTTAACTCTTTCGTTACCACGCGAAAATGGTTGTTTTTCATATGTCTCGGGAAGATTGTTTTTGCGAGTTGGAAAAGTACTCCAGCACTCATTGCAGCATTCCGAACTTTACACAACGAAATGCTTTTTCCAAAAAAGTATGTTGTAGGGCAATAAAATTATTTTAGAATGAATAAGAATGTGAAAAGTGTAGAATTCTTGGTCACATTCTGGTAAACAGTGCAATAAAGAACACTGTAGTATATGCAAAAATATTCAAAGCAAAGAAAATTCAGAATATACATTTTGTTGATAAATGAACGAGGAACAGTATAAAAAATAATGAATGTTGTGCAAAAATGTTTCTCGTCACATAGACGAAAATCAGAACTGAGGTGCTGCTTCGTTGCTCGTGCCATGCAATGAAGCATTGCATAGTTTTTCGCGAGACACAATTGTATTCTTACACTTTTTCTCAGTAAATTTTTGTTGTGTTGCAATAAGAGTCTCCTGGTGTTCTAATATAAGTAGATGGATACCCGTGATGTATATAAGTAGATGGATACCCGTGATGTGAATAATCCCTCTATAAAAGAGATATCAAATGAACTTCGCTATTTCATCTAGCGTCACCTCTTTCCATGAATCACCTTACAACGCATAGGTTGGCGTTCCAATATATGTATCCAAGCATATTTCTTTGCATTTTCATGCATATCGTAATAAAAAAAGAACAACATCGCACGCAGTTCTACAACGTTTCGCGTTGCTCCGTTGTCAGGGCCAAGATGTGCTCCGGGGGCCATCTTGTGTTTAGGGGAAGCTCTATAGCCAGTGCCAGCACACTGCACCCCAGCGAGGTGTGGACCCCGCACGTAACCAGAGTTGCTATAAGATTGTGCGCAAAGGTCAGAAGCTATACGCACTTGCGGCGGAGGAAACAACTTTAGGATGTAAATGAAATGAACCCATGAACGGCTGTGGATGTGGATCAGGCTGACGCAAAACATTGTCGCCATAAAACTTGAAGCTGAGGTGCTGTCATCTTCAAACACCAAGCTCATCGTCGCTCAATTCAGGTGGGGTTGCAAGACAGTTTCAAGCAGTGCATGTGTTTTGTAGTCCTGATGCGCACCCATGCGCGCGTGACGATAACGCCGTAGGAGTGGCTAGTGACACTAGATGGGACACTGTGTCTGATATACGGATGCAAGCAAAACCAAAGCTGCTAAAAACTGCCATAGAAGGCCGCCTCAACACTTTCAACATGCGACGGAGTTTCGCAAATATTTTTTATAGAACATTTTTTCTGACTCCTAGGACTAGCTTTCTTTTGAATATATGGCATAAATTTCTAGCAATCAGTACTGCTCAAAAACTCAAAAAAGTCAAATTGCGAAGCTGACACTTTAATTCGATATTTGGCTTGCAAAGGTTCTTTTCATCACAGAACTTTGATGTCACTGTACTATAATCACGAGAGGCAGGCACTTCTGTCAAGTTCGCCAGCCTAGTGCACTTTTCCAACAATACATGCACATTGGTTCGTGCCAAGGTCTGTCAAAAATCAATATATTGCCGAAATGAGCAAATTCAAATTGATTCTAAAAGTTGAGTGGCTTAACTACCTACTAAAAAGTGCTGGGTGGATGAGAAATAAATTTAACATGCAAAAATCGATGATCTAAAAGCATCGATCACGGGTGATCGATTTGGATAGGCGTGGTAACGAAAGAGTTAAGTGGTCCAAATTTCTGGAGGCCTACACTAAGGCGTCTCTTATAATCATGTGGTGCTTCTGGGATGTTAAACCCCACATGATTCTATAGAAAATTTATTTGCATATGCTGCCTCCTTGCAAGACATTGCATGGGTGGGTACTGAAGTCGCTTGCAAATCAGGCGTGACGCAAATCAATTAGAGTACCAATAAACGTTAAGCCGCATGAATTTACAAGCACATAAAAAAAGCAAGTTATACAAATATGTATGTATCAAATCAACATTGTATAAATAACGTGTTTGATTGATTGATTGAAATATCTGGTAAAAATTTTTACAAATGTGGGCCACTATGATTTGCTTTGTCATTTGACAGTCATTTTTGTGGAAGCCCGTTAGGTTGCAAATTCACATGCAGGAGATATGAATCTCTTGTCACATGGCAGTGCTCTTAGTCTATAGAAAAGTCATCTTAATACAGTCGTACTTACATATAACAAATTTGTGTGTCTATCGAACAGCTGTAAACTGCCCTTGAATATACCTTAATGTTTTGCACAACTGCCTCGACCTAACCAAATGCCCTCTTCCCTTTTACGGAAGGTCTGAAAAACGCGTCAGTGACAGAGAAAGCGTCCTCGCGCCCGGTTGCTGGTGTTTCACTGCTAAGCTCGTGGATCAAGGTCCAATGGGCCCTTTTCATACCCCTCAACTGTGCTTCTCTGCGCTGCTCACTGCATATTTGTCCAACTAATGGCAGTGGCACCTGTCGTGCTTCAAGCGGCGACGTGGTCATAGCTGAACGTACTGGGCTTGTCTGTTGTGAGTGTTTTGCGCCGACAGAGCCGACTAAATTTTCCACGTCATTGCAGTAAGCAAACCGCGCTCCAGCAGGCTTTTTGAAGTGAGTGGATAGCCGCTATTAGTGATTCAAACTGCATAGCAAGAAAGCTAACTTTAAGGGGAGATGCTCTCCAAAAACTTTTTCTTGAGATATTTGTGACAGCTCACTGAAACTTTCACCAGTTGTATAGAGTTCGAGCTCCTCTTTTCAAATCTGCTTTTATTTTTTTATGGCTTATTTAGTTAATTTGTTGGAGACCATGCATTTGTAAAAACAATGCATTTTTGTGCAAGCTTGGGCAACAATAGTAAGCACAGAAAACGCTCTAAAAATAGCAAATGTTCCTCCTAATGAATTGCAGAATTCAATAAAGTAAAGAAACATTGTGTAGCATTTGTGTGCTGGCCTAGACAAGAAATTCTAATGCTGAGTTTGAGTTTTACCATACTCAAGGAAGAAGTTTCTGAAATTATCTAGCTGAACATGCTTTGGAGACCTCTGAAAGTTCTTTATTTGGATTCAGGACATGTTAAACTTTAGGCATGCCAAGTTTCATTGCAATCCGACTACGTAAAGCATACAAATTATAGTGCACAAGCTCTAAACTATGCCGTAAAATGAGAAACTGAGGAAAAGAGGTTTGAAAGTTCAAAAACATGTTTAATACTATACTCTTCAAACAATCTGCATGAAATTCGCAGAGAATGTCAGCAAAGCTATCTTGAAAAAACTGACAGTTTCAGAATAATCCAGCACTATATATTGGGCCCTTACATTCACTGCAAGCTGCCTCCGTCGAAGGGCTTTTTTTTTACGGTACTGCGGCAATGGGTTGTTGCTCTCGGGCTCATGCGAGGTTTTTTTTTTGCAGTGGCAGTTCTTGTGATGCACTGGTTTTTGAACACTAATGATTGCTCGAAACAGTACACGCTGCTTGTGTCCAACGCCGATCGCACGCAGTGCGACTATGTACTTCACGCTCACAGCGAAGCTGTCCAGTGCACTGCCGCTGGTGAACGTCTTCTCGCTTTCACTGCATGACGGATACATGCGGCTTGACAGTGTACGTAGACAAAACGACAGTTGCAGCACACACGTCATTTCGGCACTAAAGTTCCCGAAAACGATGCCAATCCTTATCGGCTACTTGCCATTACTCGAATGGACAGCTCGCACCGCCTGCAGTTGGGGCTTACTGCTTTTGTCGTCGAACATCTTTATCTTTCACGATGAAGCACTGACGAAGTCATCGGCGCTAGAAATGAAGCTCGAACAATCCAAATCGGGTGCGTCGCTGCTGCCGCGGCTAAGCCTAGCAGCAGACGAACCTCTCGCCGGCGCTTACTGCCTTGCATTCGGGGCGCCATCTCTCATACTGGTGCTGCGTAATGAACTTCCGTGAACAAAAGTAGTGTTTCTCACTGGCATTCATGGCATGGAAATAACTCTGTCGGTTGTGTTCGGCGATGTCTCGGCAAAAGCAGGAGAATGAAGAAAGCGCTCGCATCTAACTGCGCGGCGGAATGCCCGCAACCAATGGCAGGGCTCCGATCATACCATGTGACTTCGAAGGCCCACTCGCCATGCTAAAATGCAGTGGGAAAACTTTTTTGTTGTATTTTTAGTGTGAATGCCGCTCTGCCGAAGTGGGCTCTGGGAGAAGAGGGTTAGGCCTACATGCCCGCAAAATTTCAAGAGCCGGCGATGCTGTAGAGCGAAGTTCGGCCTGCGCGAAAATCGAGTAATTTCGCACTTTCACGAGCCACTGCGAGTGCTTTAATTGTATTTTTCGATAGCTTCTAGTTAATTCTCAGCTTTGATTTTTTAATACAGTCGAAACCCGCAATAACGAAATCACCGGGGAAACCGAAAAATTTTGTTTTCCCAAGAATTTCGTTGCCATGAGTATGAGACATAAAAACAGGGATTTGGTCAGCAGAACGAAAATTTGTCAGAAGTCGGTCGACTTACTTTGCCGACCCTTGCCACGCAACAACTTCAAAGCTCTCCCTTCGCACTGGAAAAAGTGTTCCATTGCTACATTTTCGCCATGTCCTCCGAAGAAGGAGCGAAGGGTGTCCAGCGGATCCAAAACAACCCGCGGGTTGGGTTTCTCCACGTGCGTCTCTTCTTGGTCCTTGGTGTCCTCAGCTTGGCCCAAACTTTCAATAATGGCCTCGTCGGTCACTTCCTCGAACACGACTACGTCGTCGTCGGCGCGAACGAACGCAT